TTTGAGTGGTAATACTATTTAAATGTGTACAAGCCTTTGAATATTTTTCTTAATACTTTTTTTTAACTTCATTTTTTTACAGCAGGAAATGAATATGCTTCTCGTAGGCAGAGTGGTTATTCAGTGGCACCAGTAATGGGCTGTAAGTCACCAGACAGTTTTACTGAACAAAGCTCTATGCTGAATGCATGGCCTTCATGCTGATTGTCGGCATTAGAGCCTTTTAATGGGAACTTGCATGACATCTGCTTGTTGTGCATTGGCTGTAGTTTTTTTTTTTTTTTTTTGCCACGCAGTGACTTGGATCATTTTGCTGCAGTGAGGAGCTCCCCTGAACACATACAGCTGCAGCTGAGGTCTTTATCTTGGCGAGTCGCACAGTGGTGGTCGCATGGCCCCAGTGGGAAGCTGACTACCTAGCTAACTGTGCTAATAACAGTAGCAATGAGCGCTTGCTGTCTTTGTTCCATTTCACATTGGAGGCTTGTCCTGCTTTTTCCTCTGTGAGTCTTTACTAGGGCTTGGAACGTTGGACTATCTGCTGCTTTTGGGTGATGCACTGATAAGTTGTGTGGGTGTTTAATTTGCCAAAGGTGCCTTATTAAGCAGGAATGTCCCAAAGTTTCTCCTAAACAGCCCCCTCAGACTTGGCATCCAGAGTACAGCCGTAGGCTCAGGAATGACTGTATGACGGAATGGGATGACTTTAGGCTCGGTAACTATTTTATCTTCACCCCTTTTTCGCCTCCCTCACTTGGTTTTGTGCTGTTGTGTTGTGTTGATCTAGGGCATTGTGCTTTTGCTTAGGTCACCAGAGATATCCCTCCCAGGAAATCTTTTATCAGCCCTACAGTGGCAGCTGGCCAGCCAGATGTGGTAGATCTGGACTTGCCTGCATGGGACTGAAGACTGCTGCTTGGCTATTAGTCATGCTTGTTCAGACTGGTGATTCAGGCAATTTTGCATGACAGCGTTCACCGCCCCCCCCCTTCCCAATTAGTCAATATTAAACACTGCTTTAAAAAGCCAATTTGCTAAGAAACATCAGTGTTTTGCTTTCTAGGTCACCAGTTTTCTCTGATCACCTTGTGTTCTGCTGGCTGCCGTGAGCAGTGCCAGGCTTTTGGTACTGATGAAACGTTCACTTTTAGTGCCTGAATTGAATTCGGATTCAGGGCTGCAGAGTGCTTAAAGCAGTCTGATACTGATGAAATGTTTACTTTTAGTGCCTGAATTGAATTTGGATTCAGGGCTGCAGAGTGCTTAAAGCAGTCTGATTCTGGCCTTTGCAAAAAAGAACACAAATGCATTAAACAGACTTTTAAATAAACACACAGGTTTATAACAAATGTCATGGAAATTCTCTCATACTTCATATGGAGCTTCTGAGAATCTTCCATTTCTTGTAACCTTGTCATATCATATTGCTCATTTAAAAGGACTTCTGCTTAAATGAAGCTTGTCACATAAAGGTCTACTTGGGAAGTGTTGGGGCTCGATTATATAAACGATATATACACATTGTCATATTTACAGAAGAATGGAAAAACTTTGCTTGATAGCATACATCAGCCTATCAGATCACGGAAATGAACTTGATTACAACAACATCCTTTTCAAAATGGAGATATTGTGGATAAACGTGGTTAGAGAGACCTTGGTGGTGTAGCAATACTTCGGTTAAGTCTGAGACACAGCAGACTGGCGCTGTGTGTTGTAAACTCTGCCTAAAACTTGTGCTAACTAAAACTGGAAATACAACAAAGTTATTTCACCACCTGAAGCATTTCCTTCCCGTTGAACAGGGGTGTCAAACTCCATTCCTGGGGGGCAAGTGCCCTGTGTAGCTTAGCTCTTTCCCCGTTTCCACCACAAATGATTTGGCTCAAAAGCTGTGTGATAATTAGAACAAGGAGGTGCAATGAATCAGGTGTGTTAAACAAGGGGAAACCCAAATATGTGCAGGACTCTGGCCCTCCAGGACTGGAGTTTGACACCCCTGCCATAGAACATACAGAATGCAACTGCTTAGAGTGACACACCATCAATGTCACACATGTCCCCTGGAACAAGCAGCGAGGCAGTGAGAGAAGCTCAGGGACAAACCATACGGTCTGTTCTCTTGTCTTATGCCCTTTAACAAAATGGTTTACCTTTGTATGATTTATTGTAATTACATTCAGTTCACAGTCCATTCAATTTGTAGTCATTTATCATGTTCGGAGTCTCCTTAATGGGAGATCTAAGGGAATTTTTTAGCAAAAATGGACCCTTGAAATAGACAGTGTGATAATTATCAGTATCGACTGATATGGGGGGGGGGGCGGAATGATCATGCTAAAATGTTTTGCCATATCTAGCCCTAGTAAGTGTTTTTAGTGCAGGTAGACAAAACTGTAGAATAACTTGTTGCAGTTTTAGCTTTTTGTCTGTTTGAATTGCCTCATAACTGCTGTTGGATCATAATGGAAATTAAGTCTCACACCTTGCACACAATTAATTAATTTCTTGCAAGTTTCCCTTTGTGGGGATTTTAAGCGACACAAGCTGAGGGCACAAAATCCATATGGATCTTCTTTCATTATTAAAATGAACAAATTTCAGCTTTATAACGTAATACAGATGTTTTAGTATAAATAGTTATACATTTATTATCCTATGCTAGCATTAATTCATTGAACTTTTAAAGGATTTCCTTTTGTTAAATAGTTCAGTTGTTAAAACGGTGTCAGTCTAAACTCAGAATTTCCCCTCAACCTTCCTCTTGAACTCTTGAATTTTGGGTTTTATATCGCTTACGGTCAGCACAATCTCTTAATACAGATGCTCCCCAGGTTACGATGGTCCTTGTTACGATATTTCGACTTAACGATGGGTAAATGTTTTTCACTTTCAGTACGTCATTCAATAAATTACATGAGATATTCAACATTTTATTATGAAATAAGATTTTTTGATTTTGCTCAACTGTCGTAAGTGTTCTAAGTGTGTTTAAGATGGGCTGGGCTAGGCTGTGATGTTTGTTAGATGTACTGTATTAAAATGCATTTCCGGCTTACGATGTTTTCACCTTGCGATAGCTTTATCAGAATGTAACCCCATCGTAACCTGGGGAGAGGTTGTATTTCAAACCTCAAAAAGCATGTATCTTACCAGAAAAGTAACTACTAAACATTTAGGATTGATAGGTGCACAGTAAAAGTCACATTTACTTATTGTTAGCAGCTGATACATACAAATGTAATTGATGTTTTCTTAACATCTAACAGATTGGAGTTGTCTAATAATTAGAAAATTCTACTTACGGCTAAAAGAACACAGAATGTGTGTGAACTCAAGTGTGGCATTTGCTGGTTGTGTGGTTCTGAATTTGAATCAGTGTCCGGTGCTTTTGTCAAAGACTTGCTGCTCCAGTACATGAAAACTGGATCTAGTAGTGTTGTCTGTGTGAGATTTTGGCTCCATTTGGCTTGTGGCATGGTCCTGGTCTTGGTCCTGGTCTCGGTCCTGGTCTCATGATCCTCGTTATGGCTTGCAGCATTGTTATGGCCCTGCAGTTCTAGTTTGTAACAGATCTCTTGCTTTCAGCTTCTCCTGCCCATACTGATGGGGATGACGACACAGCCAGTGTGGTGAGCTGGGCGGACCGTTGTGGTAAATGTTCAGTAGGGCAAAAAGCGGCATTTTGTTCAGCTTTGAACATCTCTGTAGCGTGACTGGGCCTCTTTCCTGACCAACTTTTGGTTCCTCTTTGAGATACATGCTCAAATAATTTGATTTGTAGGCTTTTGTTTTTAAGCAAATACAGGATTTTCCTGTGGGTAGGAAGCTTGTCAGTGCTCGTACTTGGTGTGTAGGGTACCAGGTGTCTGTTAATTCTGGATAAATTATATTCAGAATGACATGTACTTATTGCGACTTTTCTCATTTGGATAACTTCAGTTTGGTTTTCAGGTTTAAGGTTGTGTGTGTGGTTGAATTAGAGGCCCGATTAGTGTATAAAAATAGAATGTTTGCAAAACTGAGGTCTCCCATAGATATGTTGTTGCATGAGAAATTTTAGTTGATGATTTTATTGGTATAGTAACCATTCTTTTTGGAAAACATGATTTGGAATTGGAGGTGGATGCTGTACCAACACCCCAAACCTCAAACTCCACTAGACTAGGTGTTTACACCAAGGCTCTTTTCTTCACTTTTCCCAATCTCAGACTCTCCTGGATGGGATGGTGGACGCAACGGCTTTGTGAATGGATACCACGATGGCAGGGATAGTCGCATGAATGGCGATCGCAGCGGTTTTGGGGGACGCGGGCCATCTCGCACAGACAGAGGTGGGCGTGGTGGATACCGTGGCAACCGGGGCAGTGGATCATTTAACCAGTCCCAACCAACGCAAAATGCAGGTGGGAAAAGTAATCTTGTAGGAAGCTTGTAGTCCCTACACTGAATGTATGTTTAGAAGCTATAGGTTACTTATTCATTGGATAAAAGTGCATCTTGCGATAGGGACCATCGGTGCTTCAATGGCTGTCTTTGGAAAGTCTACAAACGACGATTTGTCAAGTTTGTTGGGTGGGTCAGAGTGCAAGGTTCCTTATTCCTCCACAGCAGCTCCTGTGGATCAGCTACTTTTAGGACTGTGGATGGAATCAAATGAATAGAGCCCTTCTGAGAGTGTTATGTCACGTAGTGAAGCGTACGTACTGAAAAAGATCTGGTAGTTGACACCACGCACCTGGGGGGGGGGTGTTTGGCAGTTTTTAGCCTCCTTAAGTTTGCATATGTGACACATGACAGAATAATTAGCTGATCGAGATTGGGAGAAAATTGAACTAAAGATAATTATAGTGTCTTTCAAAGACCATCAGATGGCTTATATGTTAGTGGCCAAATTGTGAGTTTTATTGCCCCTTCCACCAAAATGTTCCTAGGATTTGCCTTTGACAAAGATGGCGGATGGAATAGTTCCAAAGACAGAGATGCATACACTAGCTTTGGAGGGCGCAATGACAGAGGGAAGTCTTCATTCTTCAGTGATAGAGGTGCCGGGACACGAGGAAGGTAAGGGTTGTACGCAGATCTTTTTGTACGTAGCATGTACATTTGCGAAATGGTGGTTTCTGCTACACATTCTGAACACACATTCTGGACAGATTTGAACGTGGAGGCTTTGGGGGCAGCAACAGCCGGTGGGTGGAGGACTCGAGAGACGAGGAGGACTGGTCCAAACCAACTTCTCCAAATGAGCGCTTGGAACAGTAAGCATATCCCTGCGTTTCCTTCTTGTGTCGGCGCATTGATGTATGTTATGGGCTAACCAGAAGACATTACTGTTTCTCCTCAGTGAGCTCTTCTCTGGAAGCAATACGGGGATTAACTTTGAGAAGTATGACGACATTCCTGTAGAAGCCACAGGCACCAATTGCCCACCCCATATTGAAAGTGTGAGTTAATATGGATGTGAATGATCTCCCTTGGAATTACTTGCAAAGGACTTGACTTGAATTGACTCTGATCTGCAGTTCCATGATGTTGACATGGGAGAGATTATCATGGGCAACATAGCTCTGAGCCGTTACACGAAGCCCACTCCTGTCCAGAAGCATGCTATTCCCATCATCAAGACTAAGAGGGACCTTATGGCCTGTGCTCAGACCGGTCAGTACTCCTTGCTGCTCTGCTGGTGTTTTTGGGTCAGACTTCCTTGCTGCTCTTTATAAATTGGAAAATTCTACCTTTTCTTAACAGGCTCTGGGAAAACGGCAGCGTTTCTGCTTCCCGTGCTGAGTCAGATTTACACTGAGGGTCCCGGAGAGGCACTACAGGCCATGAAAGCTAGCAATCAGGTACTTCTGATTCAGCCGTGTTGCTCATTTAATATCAGGGACTTGAATTGTGGCATTAGAGTAACATTGTTTATTTCGCAAATTTGATTCTTTTAAATGTATCTAGGAAAATGGGAAGTATGGGCGTCGCAAGCAGTTCCCAATCTCTCTGGTTCTGGCCCCAACTAGAGAGCTCGCTCTGCAGATCTATGATGAGGCCCGAAAGGTACTTGGCTTATGGAAGTTCCCATGAGTAATTTTTTTTATAACTGGTTAAACTCTGCTATATCTGGTGACCCACCCTTTCCTTCCAGTTTGCCTACAGGTCCAGAGTGCGCCCCTGTGTTGTGTATGGAGGAGCAGACATCGGCCAGCAGATCCGTGACCTCGAGAGGGGCTGCCATCTTTTGGTGGCCACACCTGGACGTCTGGTAGACATGATGGAGAGAGGAAAAATAGGCCTAGATTACTGCAAGTGAGTCTACATTGAAACAGCTGCAGAAGCCAACATTGCTTCCTGATTGAAGCCACCCTCATGAGCGAGTGTTTTGTTTTTCCCCTTCATATTCATCTAAGTTGTACTTTCTTCTTCAGCTACCTGGTTCTGGATGAGGCAGACAGAATGCTTGACATGGGCTTCGAGCCTCAGATCCGCCGCATCGTCGAGCAGGATACCATGCCGCCTAAGGGTCTCAGGCATACCATGATGTTCAGCGCCACCTTCCCCAAGGAAATTCAGGTAAAACCCAGGGCAGGAATGACGAGGAAGTGACACAAAAAAGACCCCTTTTAATTAAGCCTGTCGTGTTTGTTCATTTTCAGATTCTTGCTCGTGACTTCCTGGAGGAGTACATTTTCCTGGCTGTCGGCCGTGTGGGATCAACTTCTGAGAATATCACCCAGAAAGTGGTCTGGGTGGAAGAGAGCGACAAGAGATCTTTTCTGCTGGATCTGCTGAATGCCACTGGTATTTTATATTCCTTCTTCAGTGAATGTCTGATGAGATAAACTGAGTAGAAACTTCAAACTAATGCACTGTACAAAATATAATAGACTAAATGTTTCCTTAAGCCAGGATTTCCGCTTACCTATTCTTTTTAGTTTTTTAAAAATAAAGGTCGATATAATGTCACCTTGTTTTTATGTACTGCTAGCTTAATTTTGAACCTGGAAGCAACCTGCTGCTCAGTGTAGCCTCTACCAGCAGAACGACGATTAAACCAAGATTTAACAATGCAGATTGTTTTAAAAATAGAGGGGGTCTCAATTTTTTCCAGAGCTGTATTAGTTCATGGTTTGTACTTGAGTAGTGACCGAGTTGTTGATTTTACTTGGGCCCCCTGAAGTAAAGTTACCGAATGTTTTAATCTTTTTTTTTTTTTTGTAGGTAAAGACTCCCTCACCCTGGTGTTTGTGGAAACGAAGAAGGGAGCAGACGCCCTGGAGGACTTCCTGTACCGCGAGGGCTATGCCTGTACCAGTATCCATGGCGACCGCTCTCAGAGGGATAGGGAAGAGGCACTCCATCAGTTCCGTTCTGGAAGATGCCCCATCTTGGTTGCTACAGCGGTATGTAGAATTCCACACCCGCAGCATTTACGCAGTAAGGTAACTGAACAACCAGGCAAAATGTGTGGTTTCTCCTGTAGGTTGCTGCACGTGGACTAGATATCTCCAATGTAAAGCACGTCATCAACTTTGATTTGCCCAGCGATATTGAGGAATATGTCCACCGCATTGGTCGTACTGGACGTGTTGGAAATCTTGGTGAAACTTCTGCATTCATTGAAGTTTACTCCATTTTCACTAACATGACTGTGTTGCACACTGATCACTGATTTTTCTACTCTGTCCCCAAAACCTGTAGGGAAAAAATGTTTGTATTTTTTTTTTTTTTTTTTCCTTTTACCCATAGGTTTGGCTACATCTTTCTTCAATGACAAGAACAGCAACATCACAAAGGATCTTCTAGACCTCCTGGTTGAAGCTAAACAGGAGGTTCCTTCATGGCTGGAGAGCCTGGCTTATGAGCATCAGCATAAAAGTAGCAGCCGTGGACGTTCCAAGAGGTAAGTTTGGATTTTATCTGTGAATTTGAGAGGTCAGGATGCTTCATTTGCGTTCACGGCACGGACTTCTGTCTCTCCCAAGGTTTTCTGGAGGTTTCGGTGCCCGTGATTATCGTCAGAGCAGCAGCAGCGGCACCAGCTTTGGCACCCGCGGGAATCGCAACACCGGGGGTCACGGGGGGAGCCGAGGATTTGGTGGTGGTAAGGGTTGGTTTCACACTCTCCTCATTGGGGGGAGAGAGAGGTGTCCATGCTTGGTGTATGACCTCCCCCCACCATTTACCAGGAATTTACTTTTTTTTTTTTCCTCCTCCTCAGGTTTTGGAAACTTCTACAGCAATGATGGATATGGAGGAAATTATTCCCAAGTTGACTGGTGGGGAAACTAACGCCACAGACGATGGAGATGGCCATGCCAAATTAGCTGAATGGAAACCACATGTAACTTTGCCAGACTTTACCCTGTGTAGCTTCAAGAACTCGCAGTACATTACCATCTGTGATTCTCTGACATTCTGGAAGCGAGCGTCAGACTGAAGATAGCCTTCGGGAGAGAGAGAACATGGCTTCTAATAACTCCTAACAGATTCCTGGACTCTAGTTATCCACTGCACTTCACTTTTTTATTTTATTTGTTAAACTGAGGATCATTTGTTAATGTACTGTACCTTTAAAATCAGACAGTTTTATTTTTTAAATGTCATTAAATGGCTAAACTTGACCAGGAGATCAATTAAGGCATAAATCTTGTACTGAATCAAACCTTGGCAAACACTGGAATGATTTGACTGAAAAGTCATTCTTCCATTTTGAACCTCAAATTGTCACAAGGAACATCTAAAGCTGCCTACTGACTATAACAAGCAGTTTGTGGAACCATCACGGATGTATTCGGTTTAAGGCATCGATTCCTTGTGTAGCAACTTAAGGGATGAAGAGTTCTAGTTTCTTTGCTCACTCTATCCTGGATAGGTACCTATAAGGATATGGTTGTCTTGAAAAAGCCATTCCCATGGCACTCCTAATCGACAAGTAATTTGAGCACTGTTGTTTAACACTGTTTGATACTATGCTGAAACTAATTCTTTATGTCCTGCAATTGACTTGACAGTGTTAAGGCAGCTAGTAATCTACCGTCAGCTAGCTGTGAGGGGGGGGCAGTGTTTTTATTGTTTTTCTTTTTTTGTCCTTTACTTGAATCACTAAAGGGGCAACTGAAAAAAAATGTTTTTGATACATTTTTTTAAACTTAGATGAATTTGAAAACCTGCCATGCCGGAAGATGGAATGGCTTGTATGAGGACCACAGTACGGATGTGGCCTTGTAGAGTGTTCCGGCCAATTCGGTATCAAACGCATGCTAGTGTTGTTTTTTGGTCAAGGAGTTAAAACAAATGAATTGTGCAGGCTTTAACTTTATAAACAATTTTTTTCTTTCCCAAGCTGCGTTAATTTCTGAAGGACATCCTTGGCTTTTGTTTTTTATTTTTTTCCTTTTTTGTGAATGGCTACCATTGCCAGATTGCTGAGGTCTGTAATGTATGCAGAACTGCACACAGGAAGTTGGCAGGGACAGTGCAGTCTGGGTCACCTCCATTTTACTTGCATAGGTTTCCATTACATACTGGCTGTGTATTCCACTAAATCTGGCCAAAGACTGGTTTTGTTTTATTTTTTCCCTTCTTGTACATTAATGCAGTTTGCTCTCTGGGGGGTAGATCTGCCTTTACATGCATCTAAATCATTGGCCAGGTTGCCAGCAGTGGCTTGTTTTAACACGGTGGAGGAAGAGGTGAGAAAATGGCATTCAACGTAAGTGCAATAGATTTTTCTCAAAGTGTGTCGTGCCTTGAAATTTTTAAACATGAACTAAAGCAGATGCACTGACAGTGATGAGGTAACTTAGGATGAATGGTGCTATTTAAGTTGAGTCTTGTATGTTGTGCCCATCAAGTTGTACAGAGTTGTTTTATTGCACTTTTTATGTCTGGAGTGCGTGTCCTTAAGCTTCCAAATGTGTGGATGGTGTGAAACGCAGCTTGTTTACAAAAGGGGAAGGGTTCTTGATATTTAACCAGGATTTATTTGGGACCAGGGGGATTAGCAGTTGGGGAATTTAGCTATTTGCACAGATTTCTAGATTCTACTTTTGCTGCTAGGTTTGTGTAATTTATGAAGCATTTCTTGAGAAATATTTATTTTTATAAGCCTAAAAGTGATTCTTTGAAAGTTTCAAGAAACTTGACCAAAAGACAGTACAAAAACACTGGCACTTGAATGTTGAATGCCACCCGTATGCGTGAGATTTATATTTCGGGGTAGTGTGAGCGTTTAATTGTTAATCGTATTGGACTCAACCAAATTCCACACTTCTTACTTGGTCTTGTGGCCAAATTACTAGAATATTTAATTGGCTACCAAAACTGAAAAAGGATCAAACATGCCAAGGTTTGGATATGTGATCAAAATAGCAATGCATTTTCTAAATGTATCCTGTGCAAAGTGTCCAGATCCAATTCTGTTGCTTTTTTCTTTTTCAGCAAATGTCTGGCACATGGTAATCTTAACATGTGGTTATTCTGTTGTAATTGCATATTTGGTGTCTGGTGTTTGACCTCTGTAGCATCTGGCATGTGCTGGCTACAGCAATAAGCCCTGGAGCAGGAGAGTGGTACCACGACAGAAATGGGAAAGGGTTGGCAGGTGCCGAGTGCTGCAAAGGGAACACCATGAACCTTTAGGGTTTAGTATTTGCTTTATGTACTAGTTTAGATGCTATGCACTGCACGAGAAAACTCAGCTGTGCGTTTATTGTATGATTTTACCAAAATAAAGCATTGGGGGGAAAGACTAAGGTGCATTTAAGTGTGAAAGTGTCACTTTGGACTCGATGTTGAATAAAACCCCCCCTCATCTCCCTAAATATCCATATTCCTGGATGACTTTAAATCCAGCTGAAATGTGCTCAAGTGTCACATTTGGACAGTTAATTTAGAAATGGGGAGGGGACCAGGACAGTTTGTCATTTACAGACTACAGCCAAGTAGCTGTTAAAAGTTTATATGAGAGGCCTTAATTGTGATGGGTAAAGATTTGCATGTGCACATATGTAGACTACCACAAATTACTGTGATAAACATTTTCACCAAGACCGGGCAGAGTCCCATTTTGAAAAATTGGTATTAGACCAGCCCTTTGTGACAGGAATTTCCAACATGAGGCACATTCTCAATCAATCACCACACCGGAGCCTAAGCATCTCCCACTCATCCCATATCTGATCATAATGGGAGTAGTTTAATCTGCAGGCCATTCACTGGCCATTGGACCATCACTCAACAAAGACTCAAGGCAGTGAAACATACAGAAGATTCAAAGGCATTTTACTTTTTGAACACAGAAAAGGAAATATTAAAAAAAAAAAAAAAAACTTTATACTCAGAAACTGCTTTGTCATTTGCAGAGAAATTTACAGAGGGCAGTTTGTCATATACATGGTGTTTCTGATGCACAGACTGGTACTTTGCAAATTTAATTTGCAAAATCCATGCACCACATCACACAATAAAAATCTGCATTTTTTTTTTTCGTTGATTAAACAAAACAATACTCTGACGACACATTTCTGATGTGGCGGATGATGTCTGGAGTAGTTTCCTCCCCTTGTTCATATAACGAATGAAGAGAATTTTTAAACAACTCACTACATGGTTTATAAAAACCAGTTCCCCATAATGCAAGATAGGTGCATAGGTGTCGTGTTCAGGTATTATGTCATCCAAACAAATGGAATGTTCTTTGCTGGAGATGTTTAATAACACTGACAGCATGTAAGCTTGCAAATGTTCACATGCATGAGAACTCATTCAAATCTCTAAAACTTCTATGGATTTCTTTAGAGAGAGACAGTATCTGTTCAGAGAATGATTGTTCAAACCGTGAAATGCAACATAAGTATTACAGCTGTCACTGGAAGAGATAGGTGAGAGATTATGGGGATATTACTAAATATTCTGTTAAAATAAATTGAGAATTCAGTACAGCATTTACAAAGACAATCCTGTAGGTTCTGTGCTTTTCATCATTCTATAGAGTCAACCACAGGTAATGCCTGGAGTACATAAAGGAAAGTACAATTCAATGTGCAACACAGTACCATTGAAAAATAAATGTTAGGGACACACTGATGCATTCACCTTCTCATATCTCCCCTCCAACATCTTGTGAATACTGTCTCTTAAAAAAAAAAAAAAAAGCTAGAAAATGTTGCCTCCTAATCATAAGGACATGACAATATTTAAATTTTTATACAACACTACATTCTAGGTAGTTTGTAAGGGCTGGGACCGATTGACTTTAGGTCATGTACAGAGTTTTTTTTTTTTTTTTTTTTTTGAGACGTCCGATTCTTTGAAAGAATGACACTCTGTAGAGATGCATTGCAAAGAGGGGGGGAAGGGATTACTGGAGGGGAGACATGGATAAAGTGAGGTCTAGTAGACCCAGGAGACAGGAACCCATTGGGCAGTGTTGCACACCAAATCCATGGCTTCTTCAAGGTGCCGGATGGTCTCGTCAATCTCATTGTTGATGATGGTCTGGTCGAAGTAGTGTGCATACGTCTTCTGTAGGATCTCAGACTCCTTCTGCAGCCTCTGTAGAGACTCGTCCTGAGAGAGGAGACAGATCGATATGAGCCTGGTTTCAGTAGCACACGTGAGAAATCTCAACACCGGTTATCCAACCGCATATATTCAACAAACATCAGGACGTGCAACTAATCAAACAAAATCCGTTACTTGGAAGAAGAATTTGCAGTAAAATTAGCTCATGGCCAAGCACTGCATATATACTTAAAGACTACAACAGCTGGGGAGAGTTCTCGTCACAAAACTACCTTCACACCAGCTATGGTCAGATGGTTCCAGGTGGCACTTGCTATGCTTATTTGTTCAGAAGCAACGCTTATCCCGTAGTAGGAGTATGTGTACTTTTGTCTGCTGCACAACCCAAAACAAGGGGCAAACTATACAAGAAACTATGGATTAGACCAGAACACGCACTTACACTCTTGCTGTAACTAGCACAGCTCATGTCTACACACTGAGCGATACTTACAGGCAGTTTTTTGTACCACCTGGGTAGCTGAGTAAAACAAAAGGCAATGCAGGGGGAATAAGGGAAACAGAACACATGCAAAATGAAAAACAAGACAAAACACACAAAGCCAGTGGGCCCATGGAATGTGTAAACAAAAATTACAGGTTGCTGATGGCATAATCAAAGTTCTCAAATTCAGGCTGCACTGGGATGGGATACCAGGCGAAACTGCGAAAGTAACTTTTCGAAACTGCTTAAGGACGAAGGTTATTTACTAAACCTTCCACTGCTTTTGGTTGAAGGTTATTTACAAATTAATATTCAGGAAGTCTAACCTCAAGGTATACCATGAAATTAAAATAATGAGCCTATTAATTCCAACACAAAACTGCATTGTCAATTTGGACCACAATGTTCAGACATATTGCCGCAGAAATTTCTGAAGTGACATTTATTGCTGTAGACTACATGAAGATAGCTCTATACATCAGAATGCTTGGAACAGTGACCTCTATGAATTGCTTTTTGATAGACTAACAGCTTTTAATTTAGCATGTGCACGGCATTAATGATTACGTTTAAAACTAACTTACACACAGGAGTGTGAATGCATATTACAGAATACCGTACAGTCAGGAATCAGACAGATATTCTCAGCTAATCCACTAAGCTTCATTTGTGAGACGTGCATACTGGAATCTAGGGCTGAGATCTGAATGCAGCATGCTGGGAAAACCTTCAGATTCTCACCTCATTGATTCCAGGTGTTATGGTCGGGGCAGCGATGAATACAACATATGGAGCAAATTCAGCTGTCCGGAGGACCTTCAGCGCCTGTAGGTAAATTAATTGCTTTAGGTAAGGACTGATGATTAAACAATCAAACAAACAGTGCTGTCTGAAACATGCTTTGAAATGTCTTCTATCAAGTTTCAAGTCTAAAGCAGAATTGGTCTGAAAGACAGCATTTGTCATTGCGAATTACAGAACAGTATCAGTTTCCTGCAGACTGAATAACCACAAAGTCGTCTTCATAAAGAACACAGCATTCACCATCCGCTAGCAGAAGCTGGCTCAGAACACAAACGGCACAGTACCTGTGGCTCCACGTCCAGTATAGATATTAGTCCACGATCGTGGATCTTCCGTATAGTCTCCAGCCTGGTGCCGTACATGGCATCCTCATGACTGCCATACTCCAGGTAATCATTGTTTGAGATGTCCTGCATCATTTGTTCATGGGTTACAAAGTAATAGTTCTTGCCATTCTCTTCATCTTTCTTCGCGGTTCTGGTGGTGTCTGCGTGACGGCAACATACAGAGTTGGTCCATCAGCCATAATATCCAGTTTAATTGTGATTATATCAACGGCACTTCTGAAGACCTTCAGTATCAAACCAGATTAGACACAGGGAGACATAATGACCATGTTAAAACATCATAACATGAAACCGATGTCTTACGTGGAATAGGGTAGGCAAATCTGTCCGGGTGCTTGGTGATCAGCGTGTTCTTGATGTGCCTTCTGCCAACACCGTGGGCACCTGATCGGGGAGATGCAAATCAGGAGAGATTCCACAAGCATGTTCTTGGACGACCATGGAGTCTCTACACACTCACATACCCAGTAAGACCAACGTTTTCCTCCGGAACGCTGGCAGTTTGACAACTTCTTCATACGTGACAAGATCTAGTTGGTCGAATACTGAAAAAGAGGTTTTATTAAGAGTTAAATGCTTTCATGACATCAATAACATGATGACACCTGTCAGCCATGACCTTATGCAGCAATCCAAAGGGGAAAATGGACGTCAATGTTCACTGACGCAAAGACATCCAGAATTTTATTATTAGATGCACTACCGTACATAAAGACATGAATTTTCACTTAGCCCCCTTACAAAGTCATTCTGATGCTTTTCCACATGCAGCCCTTGTGTGGGCAGAAACGATGACAGCAGACAAGCTGAGCGTAGCACATACCTGTGATGCTTTCAAGTACAGCTCAAATGAGTAAACGAGAGGCCAGCAGTCACACCAAAAAGTATGGTGCAAACTAACAGTGAAAGGTAGAACTACCTTAATAGTTGATGTGTGTAACCAATCTAAAATTGATGATCAGTCATCGAGCGTCTCAATCGAGGCCATAGAGACTCCCTGTGTATGCCTTGTTCTCCAGTTTGGCAAGTCCTTATTAATTTAACGTTTAAAAATTCAGCCAATTAACCAATATCTGATAAAATTAACATGCTGTGAAAAGCATGTTTTAATTACTCAGTTTCACATGGGCAATTTCTTTGAAGAATATAAAAGAACCAAAATTAACGTGCCCATTGCACTTTTCTTAGAGTACTTGCAGATGTCAGATGCAACATGTGCATATGTACTTATAGTAAGAGGCAGTTTGGCATGAAAACCAGCACACACAGTGGGTCACAGAGCCCAGGGTAAGCGATGCTAGCATGTGGAAAGTGCATGAATTTCCTATTTTTACCAGTCACTGTTCGCTGGTTTTATGTTTGAAAAGCAGTGTCAAAATGACACAAAGTAATAGCGGACAATAATAAAATGAATGAACAATAGGAAAATTGTTTGCAATTGCAGCCAGTGACACCATCTTGACAAGCACAACTAGGTTAAACACGTTGGTGAGTACTGACATTATATGTGATACAGTGTCACTGGTCTGGTAAAACCAGCATCTCATATGTTGAGCTGAATAACATGATATTCAGACAGCAGGGGGCAGTGTTTCAAATA